TCTCTGTAACACACAGTTGTACTCTTTCACTATTTAAGGAATGAAATGTTTGTTCTTTTCAGATCAATCACAGTATTAAATACCAGACTTATGGACAAAATGACCTTCCACAAGCAGCGTTGCTGTAAATCCTGGCAATACCAGGATGCAAATGGAAATTAAAAAAAAAAACAATAGCTTTACAGACACATAGCTTTTGCCCACAATGCCAATGACTAAACAGTCTAATTAAATGGTTAGTCTTTACACCAGTCTCTCTGCCCATCCGTCTTTGTCACTCTTTCTCTCTCTCTCCATCTCACACATGCCAACAGCAGGCAATGCACACACAAATCCTTCACATATACATTGGTTCAGAAGCTATCACACAACACACGAGGCAGCCCATCACTGGGTCAGTGGAAGACTGTTGCCATGGCAGCACATCCCGAGCCATGTTGCCGCATGAGCCGATGTGTGATGAACCAGCCCCCTTTCTCTGCTCTGCACTGCTGCCATTATGCTATTTTAAACATAAGATGTTACAGTCCAGATACCCAGATGTCCACATACCAGCCACAAATCCTGAGTTACCTTATATAGTACAGGACAATAATAAAGCCATTTTGTTTTCATCTGCTCCTTGCCTTCTTCCACAGAATACAGTCTATATGTACTAGTTACAAGATTACTGTGCCTTAGTACGTGTTGCACGAGGCTATGAAATAAACGTGGTGCAATAATAATATACACTAATAAAATCTTAAATTATAATCAAATATTTATATCACAATAAACACAGGTAAGACAACAGTTCAAGGATAACTGAGCAAGTCTTTGCAGCATGTTGTGCTGTCCCAAAGCCACGTGGCGCAATTAAAACCACAGAATGAAGTCCGCCAAACAGTCTTAGAAATCCAGATAGTTTAATTTCAAGTGAAAACATTTTGGCCAACTTAACTGCCACCTAATTCGGGAAAAGATGACATCTGTTCAGCTACTACAGGTATAACAAGTCAGTATTTTAGTGATTTCAGTTTTAGAAGCAAGTGATGAGAGAAAAACATTGCACGGAACAGCAACTTGTCTCAAAATAAGGCAGGACTTCATCTTAGTTTGAAGCATTACAGTCATCAATAGCCATTTATTGCAGCCAAGAGCCTTTAGGTGCATCCCTCCTCAGTCAGCCACAGAGCTTAGAGCCAAACCGACTGCTGACAGAGATAGTTTTTTTCCCAATGAGTTCTTCCAATTTAAGGTTCTCAAACTGTTAATCTATCAAAGTAATATGCAAATCTGTCAGATACAATACTCATGCTCAAGCCAGTGGGACACCTGTGAAATTCTTGTGTTCTGTTACAAACATTAAGTGACATTAAGGAGAAAAATGATTTTTCTGCTGAACATCTGCATTAGACATGAAAAGGTAACTTGAACCAAATAGCTTACATATACAGCACTGCACTCATTGTAGCTGAGTGCCTGTAAAACATCAGCTACTGTATAATTGACCTGACACCACTAAAATGACACTGAATGCTCCTACTCCAAGTCATATGCCAGATATGGAAAAACCCACCACACAATAGCAACATACAGTAATGTGATGACTGGTCTACTCATGGAACTGCGTTTTAAAATATGGCTAGCAGTAGAATGATATCATATTTGATGGTTAAATCTACCAGTGTGGTGTGAAAACTGTAACTACAGGAAACAGTTATGATTCTTGACGTGGTCAGATGTTATTAAGGCACTCGCTCACTGAGCGGTGGTGTGGTATGCAGTCTCAGGACATTTTGTGAAATGAGCAAAAACTCAAGCAGACATTGAGTCTACTGAGGGAGTTGGGGAATTATGTGAACCTTTAATATTACACTGCATAATTATGGCAGTTTCACTTGCAACTAAAGTCAAACTTCTCCTTCTTTTCTGAGACTGTACTTTGTGATGCTGTACACATTATATTGTAAGGGATATGGACAAATTACTAGAAACACCTTTCCTGCACCCCCAAAACAAAAACTCAGAATTAGCACACTCATGCACAGATTATGAGACAATAGGCCCCTGGGCATTTACGTGCAAGAGGCCCACCACCTCTCCTACACTTTTACTAGCAAGACTCACAGACAAAGCAACCATGTGGTCATTTGTCTTTATGTGGTCATTTTGTTTTGCAGTCGCTTTACTGTGTTTGGGGTCTTTTCTGTCTCTTACTAGGGGATTTGAATCTCTTTGGGAGGCTCCTGGTAGTCATTTTGTAGTAATTTGATTGACTTATCTAGCAGAAAGGCTAACAGTGCCTTCATGGTCCCTCTGGTCTAGGGGCCCCCTGGGCTGTGCCCGATAGACCAGTTCAGTAATCCATCCATGAATACACTTACAGCCAAAGCAGCACTGTGTTAAAAACAGCTGCACTAATTAAACCATTTTATATTAACATGAAATCAAAATGTGTTAATCGGTTGAAAGGAGGTTGCTTGTCACAGCTAAAGGTTCTGAGCACATTTTAGTACATTGTTTGTGTCTAATGGCCAAAAATAATGTTGCTTTGGGATGACACGCAGTTTAAGACCTGATGTAATAATACAATGATGGCTACAAATTTATCATTAATAAAACAGGCTTCTTAAATACATTCCCAAACCAGACTGCCATTATGCTGCGTGTTGCTGCAGAGAAGTGACTATTCCTTTCTGATGGAAAGGTGGAGGCTCATGAGAAGATTGGGGTGTATGTGGTATCACATTATTGATGAGGCAGACACATACCAGGAGCGATTACTGTCAGTGTGTACACATTTAGTCTTAGGCAGGCAATGCTGTGGGGTGAGGGTTAATCAATATCCACATCACAGCCAGTGATGTGCTGCAGTTTCATTTTGGCCCAAAGTCTCATAAAAAGGGATGAACAACAACATGCCCTTAGGATTTCACAGCCCCTTTCCAGTTTCTCTGAAGCATTATGCTTTGGTTATACATTAGACATTAAAAACTGCACCAGTATTACTGATTTGCATGCCATTCCATTCAACTATAGCTCCTTATATTACAGCTAATTTCAAAACAATGGAATGTAGGAAAATGTAAAACTGGGGCTTGATTGAAAGGGAGCAGAAATTGCACCTCTCCTCACAGTCAAGAGCCAGCATGGTTTCCATGGTTACACAGGAGGAGCCTGATCCATTTTCAAGAGCTGGTAGCTAATGGGTCTCAATGAGCTTAAGTGTGAATGTGTGACAGGGGTTGTACAGTAGAAATGCAAATGGATCACAGAATTTGCAAGAGGATACTGTAAGAAGAAAATTTAGAGCATGTGCTGTTTTGCTTGCTTCATAAACTGCAGCTACACCAACGGATGTTAGTATATTTATGAGGCAGGATTAACTCTTGATATAGAGCACAGGCATTCCAGTATTCCTTCAGGAGAATCAAGGATACTTTTCACTGTAACTATTACAAATACAGACCAGCAAAGCATACAAATCAGAGGGGTTTTTATGTCGCTATATCTTCCAAGTACAAGTAGGCAACCTAGTCAAGGTCAGAGAGAAAATAGCAGCCAATATTTCCATATCTTGGTGCTTTTTGGGAACCACAGTACCCTATTATTTTTAGGATTAGGCATATGAAGAGATATTTTCATACATGTACAGTAGAGTATGCATTTCCAAACACAACCATAATCTATTTTATGGACTAGTACCTATCAGGGTGTCTCACAGTCACCTTGAAAGCACTGATCTAATACTGAGCATGATGAGGCACTTTTTTACAAGAGTGGTTGTGTAAAATGATTAGCAGCTTTGATACCTGTGGTGATATGAAGCTAGATGAGTTCCCCGGTTCACCTCTCACATCATTTTGAATCACCGCAGCCAAGCTGATGCAGCAAGAGCCAGGACAAAGCACAGGGCAGATTGAAGGAGGATTTTAAGTGCAAGGATGTTACTGTCAGCAACAGACCCACGTGATAGAATACCTGTTTAGTCCTAACCTTATCAGGGTTCTGCTGTCTGATCTTTTTCACCTGTCTCCTTCCATAATGAGCTAACTGTTGATTTTTACCTCCATGGAGGTCATTATTAGTATCTTATTCTTAAAGCTTTATTTACCCCAGCTCCAAACTTTATGACACTTCAAGTAAACTGACCGACTTCACTTCCACACTTTTTCTTCTTTGCTCTAATTTCTACTCATCTTTTCTTCTCCTTTAATGCACATGACCGGGCTTGCACAGCCTAGTGACCACTGAGCTTAAACCCCCCTGCATGTGCAACAGTGATAAAGCTGCTAAACCTTGCTAGAACTGTCCTGATTCCTTCTCTGTCTCTCTCTCTCTCCCTGATTCTTAATGTCAGCTGTCAACTTGAGAGAGAGAGAATTAGGTGAAGATGCACAAAAGATGTTAGAGGGAAGCAAGAGTGAGGCCAAAGAGCAGAAAGAAGAAGGGCAAAAGAGAAAATTGAGATAAATTTGTAAAATGTGGGATTCTTGTAAACTATTGTCTCATATTTGATATAAGCTGTTTGTTGCATCTGTACCTGCTGGCCTAATCTTCACAAGATTCAGATGCATTTATTTTGTAACCAAGACGTCACCTGATGCCTTCTCTCCTCAGTGAAATACCTCTAAAAGCTCTTACAGCCAATGTCATGGGCCCTTTGAGAAATCCTTAAAGTAAGAGTGTATCTGCAGAGACTGCTGATGAAAGGTCTTTTATACCGTAGGTCTGCCAAGTACAAAGAAAAAAGAAAAACCAGACACTAACACAAAGCAGAAAGCAGTGAGTGATGTCAGCATGAAGTCTTTCTTCAGCATTACAGTGAGTGTAGGTATGTGTGCGGGGGTCTCAGCATTTTGAAAACCGAGTTAAATGCAATTATACAGCAACTCCCAGCTGACCTTCTCAAAGGTAGAGGCCTAAAGGACAAACTAGCATGCGGCCATCTGCACTAATTGGTAAATGCTGTCAGGGTAACGAGGTTCAAACCCATGCTCATCTTCAGTTACTCTTACCCATTAGCCAGGTTGTCATCATCATCATCATCCGGCAGGCTCTTTCCTAGGAGGTCAGTGTCACTCAGGTAACCAGACTTGAGGTCTGGGTCATCCACATCCAAGCCTTCGATCAGCTCAATGCGAGATGTGCTGCTGAGGCGGCTGGAACAGCGAGCTGGCATTGTGTGAGCTGTATACTGGGAGCCAGTCTTACTATCCTGGTATCCTCCACCCGTGGAGGACGGGGCATCGCCTGCTTGAAGACGGGGACTGGACTGGCCGTGGCGCCAGGAGAGAGGTGAAGAGCGGTTTTTTTTTGCTGCGAGCATTTGTCTCATCACTGTCGTAGGCCACGTTACTGCTGTCCAGACAGCTGGAGAGACACAGTGATACGCAAAATCAGTATCAGTTAACCATAGTCGTAACAATGAAACCAGAGCACACAGCAAAACTAGCTTCCTTCTCTGTCAGAAGTCCTTCAAAGAAACCCGCTGTGGCATTGAGTCACCGTTGACCCAGATACAGAAACTGTGCCATATTGTTTTCAGGGACTAAACCCAGAAATGTTGCATCTTAGAATCTAAACACAAATAAAGCTGATTGTGTGTATCTCTGTGTTAACAAGGCCTCTGTCTCTCTGAGCAACGTATTCAGGCTCATCAGCAGACTTGGTATCATTCTCATGCCAACAGGCTGTGCTTTACATGACCCAACATTACTGTTGCAAATAGAAGAACACCTCTTACCATAATAGAGTATGTTCAAGTTTTCCCATTCTCTCGTGTATGTAGGTCAGAAATATCCTTAAAATGGCTGGAAGCATCTGCTGTGTCTGCCGATTACACAACTAGATGTACCAGCTCCCCAAATAAATATTGCAATAGCTACGTTCATGGGAGCACTTTTATACTTTGCTTATGGATATTTCATCAGTCTGGAGGCTAATTGGTGCCACTGCAGTACTGTTAACACAAATGACATCTGACCCATTGTCAGAAAGTGTATTTGTTTGGTCATTTTATCATGCCTAACATATTACCAGTTTGCCAGCTAAACTGTGCACTGGCACCTGGCAAAAAAAAAATCACACAAGTCTGTTATTTTACTTGCATTTTATCTGTGGTTTTGTTTTTGAAAAAATAGGAGCTATTAAAGTTCTGTTCACCAGCTAGTCAGTAATTTTGTCATCTATTTGATTGTGGGCAGATCGCTCATAACTGTTTTATTAAGTGCTTTTTTGCTTGTTAAAAGGAGTTGAGAGCAGCTTAGACTCAACCACACTGCAAATGTGGGGGTGTGAAAATCAAAAAAGTGAACTAGATGAGGCTAAAAAGCTTTGCAGAGCTTCAGAAATGATATCCATGAGCGAGTGACCATTTCAAAAGACGACTGATTTGTGTCCATGTAAAAATACTCATTCATGAAATTTAAAGAGATATAAACAGAACATTCTTCCTCTTGTTTGAATGTGTGTTGATATTTTCCAGCTTTACTCTCCAAATATTTGAAACAAAGATCTGCTCTCCACCAGTGTCTTGTTATGTTGTAGTTTTGGCACCCAATTAATGCCTGCGTGGGCCTATGAGAGATGCCTAGAATGAAGTCATAATTTAAGAAAGATGGAAGACAGATGTGCACCAAGTGGAAGATCTCCAAGCTGCCACAGTACTGTTTACACATGATTGTGTTATACATGTTTATTGATCCAACAAGTTAGCTAGTGCCTTTCTTTCAGTTTAAACTAAAGACAGACATTGGCTTGTGGCTTTATCCTGTAATTGTATGAACAAAGCACACACGGTCTCAGGGTTATATGTGACTTTAGACCAAAGTGTAATTGAACTATGAACTGTGCAAAAATCACAGAATGTTGATGTTTTGCACTTACCTGTGGCTGAGCTGGGAGCCCCGCAGACTCGACATTGTATCCTCCAAGTTCTGGCGAAGGTCAAGGACATTCTGCATGGTCCGTTTCCTCTGGGATTCGGGGTCTGTGGGTCAGCCGTGCAGAACACAAAACATGTAGAATGTCAAAATAAGACTCAGATACAAGCAGCTGTTCTCCTGTTTTGTGTGTGTTGCGTTTTTAGAATAGTCATGTGCAAACGTACACACTTATTGTTTCTGCATGTGCCCTTCTTCAGTTGCATTTATGTCTGGACTGATGAAATACAGTAGGTATCATACAACCAATATATGTTCACATAATTACACATACGGGGGCACCTTGTGTGCAACGTTGACACTTTGACTTAGACAGTTGTCGCAGGTCTGTCGCCCCATGATGAGCTTATTAATAAAGGCTAAAATGCCCTCAAAAAATAACTTCTACTTCCAGTAAATGGGCTGTGTCAGTGTGGCAAGTGCAGCTCTATTTTCCTCTGCACTGACTTGGTGCATCCTGAAATACTGTGGACAAATGTTTTACTCTAATGTTGACTGTCCACCAGGGGGACATAGTTTGACATTCATGTCACACCAGGATCTATTTCAATAAGCTGTGTATTTTTCTTTCTTTTTAGAGTTTCTGTTTTCTGATCTTTAGGGCATTATCTCAGTCATTCAGTTGATGTTGTAAAGCTAACAATAAGCTGAACAGCAGCCAGAACAACTGCAACCCAGTTCAGCCTTTTGGAACAAGCTGTAGGTATTGCAACAGGCACACTGAGTGGGTCGTGACCATGTCAAATCAATATTTTAAGTACAATTAGGAGTGTTGTTGCGTTAGGTGTAACAAATAAGAATCCTCCCTGTTTCACAAACACAAGGACATGGAGTTTTCCACAGCAAAACCCCTTAGTGAGAATAAAGAAATTAAAATTCAATTCAATGCAACAGCTGGAAAGGCTGAAGAAGAGCTGAGCGTGTCAGGGGATTACATGTCAAATAACATGATGTTCTCATAAGTGGACGTTGAACTACTGTAATTAAGCCAGGTGTATAGAGGTTATGAATTGGAAACATCACCCACAACATTCACACATTCAAAATGTGTACTCATCTCTGTTCTGCAGGGCCAGTGATACAGGGTTCAAGTCTGCATACGAATGGAAGGCTTGTTTATAACAAAATATCTGCTAAATTTTCTGGTTTCAGCAGACCCCAAAGGCATCGAACTGATGAGTTCCATGAAAAATCAATAACCAGATGTTTGGAATGTTGTGTACCTCAATATAATACAATATTTTAAGTGTCCAATATTGACAAGTACCATAATTCATTATTTAAGGTCTGTATGAGCGTGACAGAATTATAGGTATAGCAAGGAATTTTATAATGCCACACTATAGCCTCTAAAAATTTTAATTTTAACAAAAATGATCATTTTGCACCACAACTAGCAACTCTACTATAATTTTTGCATCTATAAAATGTTATGTATTGCATTGTAGGATTGTTAGCAGAAAGCAGATGCTACATGAACAGAAAAAAAATGGATGACGGCAAACAGGATTGACTATTTTGGTGGAAAAAAAAAAAAACACATGCCATTGAACCTTTTACCAATGTTTCACAACATTTTTTGCGAATTACCAGATACATTAGTAACATCACATCCACAAACTCCATAACACACTAATTCTGTGATGCTACTAAGTGACTTTGTGAAGAATTCCAGGGAATATACTCAAACAGGAACCGTGGACTCGGCGCACACATGTGAATCACATCTGTTTTACATATGTGCTGTAGTCAGCATGCACTCTTCCTGTGCTGTGACTGACAGTCCTCCGATATCCTGCGCTGCAGTGATGCCTACAACAGAATGAAAGTCTGACAGCATACTGAAGCAGATCTTAATTCGTTAAGTCCTGTGAATATTGCAGCGCCGCAGGAAGTGCTCCATACTGACCCAGTGCAGAGGCATCAAAAATGTGTAAGGGGCAGAAAGAGAAATCATACTAATCAAAACTGAGGCCGCTTTCCATTTAGACTGTGGTATTCAAATACTATCAGCAATTATTTGACACTGATATTTTGATGTTTAAAACTACCACCTTTACCTGTGACTTGAGGGAGCTGACATTTTGTGACCCTTGCATGTCTGTGCAATTCCATGGCCATTGCATCCTTCATATACTGGACCTTTTCCACTATGATTCTGCACAGATGAGGGCCATTGCTATTGTTGTGCAGATCTTGCATGACAGATCAAATATACGTAATTAGCCTGAATGAGGTTGGCTCGTTCTCCTGTTCAGAGAAGAGTTTGGCTGTATGCTCTAATCTTCTGCTATGTTCATGAACATGAGTCTATCATCTGACTTGGAATCTGTGTCAAAATACATTAATCATGTTACAAAATTCCAGCAGCTGATGTGATTTATGTCTGTCTATTTGGATTTATTACATAGCAGACAGTGAAAGTTTTACTGCTCTGTGGGAAGAGGACGAAGAAGAGAAGAAAACCTGAGTTAGAAATTAGAAGATGCCAAGGTTCGGCTCATATCTACACTAAAACAAGCCACAAAAAGCATGAAAAGGCTTACAGTATTTTACAGTGGTGTGAAAAAGTATTTGCCCCCTTACTGATTTCTTATCTTTTTGCATGTTTGTCACACTGTAATGTTTCAGATCATCAAACAAATTTAAATATTAGTCAACGATAACACAAGTAAACACATCATGCAGTTTTTAAATGAAGGTTTTTATTATTAAGGGAAAACAAAATCCAAAACTACAAAGCCCTGTGTGAATAAGTGTTTCCCCCCCCTGTCAAAACATAACTTAACTCTGACTGCAGCGAACCACAGTGAGAGCCATTATCCACAAATGGCGAAAACATGGAACAGTGGAGAACCTTCCCAGGAGTGGCCGGCCGACCAAAATTACCCCAAGAGCGCAGCGACAACTCATCCAAGAGGTCACAAAAGACCCCACAACAACATCCAAAGAACTGCAGGCCTCACTTGCCTCAGTTAAGGTGAGTGTTCATGACTCCACCATAAGAAAGAGACTGGGCAAAAATGGTTTGCATGGCAGAGTTCCAAGACGAAAACCACTGCTGAGCAAAAAGAACATAAAGGCTCGTCTCAGTTTTGCCAGAAAACATCTTGATGATCCCCAAGACTTTTGGGATAATACTCTGTGGACAGACGAGACAACAGTTGAACTTTTTGGAAGGTGTGTGTCCCATTATGTGTGGCGTATATGTAACACCGCATTTCAGAAAAAGAACATCATACAAACAGTAAAATATTGGTGGTGGTAGTGTGATGGTCTGGGGCTGTTTTGCTGCTTCAGGCCCTGGAAGACTTGCTGTGATAAATGGAACCCTGAATTCTGCTGTGTACCAAAATATCCTGAAGGAGAATGTCCGGCCATCCGTTTGTGACCTCAAGCTGAAGCGAACTTGGGTTCTGCAGCAGGACAATGATCCAAAGCACACCAGCAAGTCCACTTCTGAATGGCTGAAGAAAAACAAAATGAAGACTTTGGAGTGGCCTAGTCAAAGTCCTGACCTGAATCCAATTGAGATGCTGTGGCATGACCTTAAAAAGGCAGTTCATGCCCGAAAACCTTCCAATGTGGCTGACTTACAACAATTCTGCCAAGATGAGTGGGCCAAAATTCCTCCACAGCGCTGTGGCAGACTCATGGCAAGTTATCGAAAACGCTTGATTGCAGTTGTTGCTGCTAAGGGTGGCCCAACCAGTTATTCGGTTTAGGGGGCAAACACTTATTCACACAGGGCTTTGTAGTTTTGGATTTTGTTTTCCCTTAATAATAAAAACCTTCATTTAAAAACTGCATGATGTGTTTACTTGTGTTATCGTTGACTAATATTTAAATTTGTTTGATGATCTGAAACATTACAGTGTGACAAACATGCAAAAAGATAAGAAATCAGTAAGGGGGCAAATACTTTTTCACACCACTGTATATTGTGTTATGCCTTATCTTGTGATGAGGCAGTGGTGTACAATGTCCCAGCATTATAGGACAGCCACAGAGCAAAAACATTCTTTGAAAATTTAATAAATGAGCCTATTAACTAAACTGACCATTTTTGATGCCATATTGACAAAGAGATCCTCTATATTCAGAAATAAAAGCATCCTTTCAGTGAGCTCATAATGAGATATGCTGCAGAAGCAGAGTGCAGCATTAAGAAGGCCTTACGGCAGACTATGAATATAATGAGCTATTTAAAGCGACAAACATGTCCACTGTACATGTACAGTAAGGAAATGGAAAATATTCCAGTCTAATTACGCAGAAAAGTGTTAACGCTGTCCTAGCTACAAAACATCGATATTACTATAGCTAGAGATATTTTCTTCATCTGTTACTGATCAATTCAATGCAATAATCAATGTTGCAATTGTTTTCAGTCCCCCCCCCGTCTCCAAGTTGTTTCAGTTTTGGCGGCTGTTTTCTTTCATGGACACACGGCACTTGCCTCGTGTCAAAAGCCCACATGGGATTATCATTTAAATGATAAATAATTCATTAAGATGGTGCTCTCTGGTATCTTGCACCGCTGGACTTCAGGGTGACTAGCATGAGAGACAGATGTCCATGTAGGCTAACGAGGCATGGATAACAGATTAAATCACCACTGATGTGTTCATTAAGGTACAACAGGAACATGCACTTCTGGTGATACTGAAGCAATGGAAAAAACATTACAACATGAAATGCTTGCTGGCATTTGACATGCTTGAACTATTTTTTTTATATGAGTTTGTGTGTCAATGATTTAACTTTTGTTGCACTGTAAAATTTCAGTACTTTAAATTAGAAAACCTGTCAAAGCTGTGATCAGAACCCAGGGCAATGTATAAGGTCTGAAAGAAAATAAAAGAAAGGTGTAAAAGCTGAGAAGGAAACAGGATTTGAACCTTAATGCATCTCCACAAGTAATGACACCTCCTGTCATGTGACTAAAATACAGCAGCAGCAGAGATATGCTTTCATACACACAGAAAAATAACCAAACAAAAGATGACATCACCATCTTATGGTCAATACCCTGAGCCCCTCCTATTGATAAACCTGACCTCCACCTCCAGAGAGAAAGCTATTTTCGCTGCTGTTTGCACAACTGTAGTACACAGGGTGTAAACCATCTGTCGGTGCTCTACAGATGAATGACGCTGGGAGGAGGCTAAAAATGTGTCTACTGTATGTGGCTGAAATTAATTCAATATGGCATGCCGTCTTCTCCATCTCCAAGCATGCGTGGGGGAGTAAATGGACCTGAGTGAATCGGCACATGTTGCAGCAAATGAGAGCTGCTGACAGCAGAGCAGTGTATTGGTCACATTCCCCAATCCCTCAGGCTTTTTTCATGAAATTAGTTGGCAATATTATGACAGGAAGAAAGCACATTTTATACATTCAACCCCACCAAACTACAGACACTGGACTAACATGCTGGAGGAAAAACAATAGAGCATCATTAGAGATTTGGCATTCAACTAACCACTGAGCATTAAATGCCAGGCTGAGGAAGCATTCAATAAAATAATAAGACCATGTTTTGCAAGCACAATGAGGGTGTTAAAGCCACCCCCCCCCCCCAGTTAGTGATTGGCATAAAATCCATTCAGGGGGAATATTGGTTTGCAGCAGCAAGCAGAAGCAGTGTGCAGTGTGGTAGCTGTATGAAAGGGGGCGTGATGCTGACTTTGAGAAGCACTGAGAAACTGTACAGGCAGGGCGTCCATTTGTGGCACATGGCAGCCACTGGTACTGTAGGCCGCCTGGTGCAGTATAGGTATCAAGACTATTCAGTACTCAGCCGTACTCACCTAATATCTGACTGAAAAGCAGCTGCTCCAGATCACCCAGCACTGTCACTACCAGCTCTGGGTCCACCTTCAGAAAGGGCTTGTCCCCTCCTTCCTCCCCCTGGCCTTTGGAACCAGACTCCCCTCCAGCTCCGGCTTCCTGCTTCTTTGCACTGACCTTTGCCTTACTGCAGAGGATCTCATCATCTGACTTCCCATCCTCAGGTGCCTTGCTCAGAGGCTTTACCTCAGCATAAGGCCCACGAGGTATGCGGCTCTGCTTGCTCAGGGCAGAGGGAGCAGCCAGAGGGCTGAAGGGCTTGGGTTTGCCCTGGAACAGTGAATGCTCAGATTTGGACAGGTTTCGAGAGAGAGGGGCAGCCCCTCCACCATTGCTGCCACCTCCCGCTGTCTTTGGCTTTCCCATCTTAGCCTGCCCTGCTCCAGGCTTGGCCATGTCATCACACCACTTTGGCTCATAAAGGTGCAACTTCTTCTCTGCATCAGTGAGTACAGCCAGGTTTGTCATAGACCTCTGCTTGCGGAGACTGGAGGGCACTGGTAGCCTGCCCTCAGAGCTGCCTGCCCGGTAAACCTTCAGTTCACTCCGCTGTGTGCTCTGGGGCACTCCAGACTTGGCCCTCTTAGCTGCCACGCCAACTCCTTTGCCATCTGCTTGGCTGTATGCCTTTGTGCTATCCGTCCTTTCCATCTTCAAATCTCCTTCTCGGCCTTTCACACTATTTCCAAGCATGCCTCCTGCATGAGACCCTATAGAAAAGCATCAGCAGGGAGAAAGCTGGGCTTCCTTATTTAAAGCCTTCTCCTTGTGCAAAAAAAAACACACACATACAGTGCTTCCTTTTAGGCAATCCTGCAGCCTCGTCTTCCTCTCCTCTTTCTTTCCCTCTTCCCTAATGACAGGCTGCTGCAGCTGCAGCTGTTGCAGTGCTGTCCCGGCGCTCCCTTTCTCTCCTTCTCTCCTGTCCTCCTCTCCTCTGTTTTTCCACACTCCTCCCTTCAGCACACCCTACTGTCGCTGAACCACGCAGCAGCAGAATGACAGCGGCGGCAGACGCCTCCTCCCCCTTCTTTCTGCTGCCTCTCCCTTGTCTCCGACTTCCCTCCCAATCCCCCCCCCCTCCTTTTCCCTTGATTTAGAGATGCTTTGGTGTTTCTCAGCAGAATATGTGAAATACAAGAGAGTGATGAGAGACAGTCTGCTTGGCTTTTAAAATCTGGCACCATTCTCCCGTGACATACCATGGTTTCCCACCATCTCCTCTGATTCCTTTGTTCTTCCCCTCCCCCTCCCTCACTACGAGTATTCCCTGTTCAATGCAGTCAATATGATGCACGATTTGTGATGTTGGTAGAAGTGTTATGAATGTGTGAATTGATAGCTAAACAAACACCAAACAAACCACAGCATGAGTTTAATATCAAAATCCCACACAATGCAACACTGGAGAATCCAGATTATCTCTTGATCCTGTCTGAGCTTTCTTACACTATCAACTGCAGATATACAGTCAGATAAATCAGCTGTGTGCTGACCTGCCATAAATGGACAAGTATATTCTTGTCATACTATATAAATAATGATGATTATGTACACGATATGTTAACATTGTTAAACTAAAGAATATGATCGTGTAGTTGTCCACTACTTGCAAAAGGAGAAAAAAATAAGTCTTCAAATCCCAATAAAATCTACTGGTGACTTCACTCTTACTGAGGGAGCAAGCGACAAGATGTGCCAGCATAAGCAGCAACACGCCCAAAACCACACTTTGAAAATATCTTCAAATCAGTGTAAGACACGCACAAAAACACACGTGGCTGTGTTAAATTGAAAATCCAGTCACATCATTTTCTGCAGGGGATTTTTTGCTGACATATGAGTGTAATCATTTTTTTTAAATATTCCACACAACCGTCTCCCAGGAGGATTGAGGAGGCTCTGCAGCCCTTGCAAGCGGCACTGCTCCATGGAAACCACCCTCTCTCATCGCCTGCACGTCATCTGCACCAGACCTCACTGCTCCGCACAAACATAGCTGCAAAAGAAACATTTACCTTTTTCATAAACTACCGATACTGCTCACATGTTATGTACTCATCAAGAATTTCTTTATCAAATAAAATACATAAACCAAATGCAGTGCTTTGGAAGAGATTTTTCCCCTATTCTTATGAAGTGAAAGATAGAGTTGCACTTTTTGAGATGCTAGATGGTGCAAATCCTCTGGACATATTGTGTGACTGACCCATTAGTGTCAACGCATGCATAGAGGGTACCACTACAACTCCTGCAACAGGTTTGCAACACACTCTCCTGCATTTTCTATTTAGGTGACACACTGATGAGCGCTGTCGAGCCATAGCCGACCCGGACATCTGTGCGGAGTTTGCATGTTCTCCCTGTGCCCTACGTGGGCTCTCTCCGGGTACTCCAGCTTCCTCCCACAGTCCAAAGACAAGCAGCTTATGCTGATTGGTGACTCTAAATTGCCTGTAAGAGTGAGCCTGTGTGTGGTTGTCTAAGTGTCAGCCCTGTGATAGACTGGCGACCTGTCCAGGGTGGACCCCCCACCTCACACCCAGTGTCAGCTGGGATTGGCTCCAGCCCCTGTGACCCTCATTAGGATAATCAGTACTGATAATAGATGGATGCCACTGTTATATAAGCACTTTTTAACCAACACTATAAACCACTTTATTGTATTCTATCCCACATTACATTAAAGGCACTAACTTTTAACTATATTCTGTTTGTTTTATCCACTACAGTTTGTGGACTACTGAGATTGTTTGACCTGGCAATTATTCTCTGGAAACAAAGTCGTGTCTTGATCCTCATGAATTCCAAGGCTCCCCTGGTGACTCCACATCACTGACCTTACTCCTAGGATGCAGTGAGTAGCTCATTTCTTTCGGAGGTGGGGGATTTTTTTAATGAATCACAAGATAAGAAATTCCAACATTGCTAAATTTCCTGCAGCATACAGACATTTTAATAAGCACATGTTGCACCAGATAGAAATGACGGGGGCATCTATCAGGACCTGGGTACATATTTTAACGTATGGATTTTAGAAGGTCTAGTGATTCAGTCGATCATTTGAACGTTTTGGTCCAGACTGAAATATCTACAGTAACTACTGGATGGACAGTGATGTACAAACATTCATGAGCCCCAACGGATGAAATCTGATGATTCTGGTGATCCTCCTGACTTTTCCTACATTTTTGTTTTTTAGTAAACAGTCTCAGCAACTATTGATGCACCAGTCTCCTTTTAAGTTGTCAATAGCTAACTTCAGTAACTGTCCCCATGATGCTAAAATGAGGCTTTAACCACAGTGAATTTTTTCAAAATGCAGCATTCCTTTGGTAAAGCGCCACCACTTCTTAGGGACTGTGGTCATTAATTTGGTTTCTTTCACATCTGGATTTGATTCTCCAACTGGCCATTTGTGTGTGTGTCTGTGTGTATATATGTATGCAATAGCAGGACACTTACACAGCTGTCTGCTATGCATTTTTCCTGGATAGCACATGTAATCATTTTGAGGCTGCTCAGCTGCTAAATGATTAAGGGAAACAGGACCTCCACATGTGCTCAGATCAGAAAACTTCAGAGGGCAACAATGCAAACATGCACAAGTAGAACATATGATGCTAATGGCACAACTAAATATGTTGCTCAAGTCATGTGCTAATTAATGCTCTTACAAAAGCCTCTCATTTGAGATCTCATGGAATCATTGTGCAAGCTGGAATGTTTCCAGTTTCCAAATTCCCGTCATATGCTGAGAAATAGTCTTTTCACAGTGATCATGAGCTGCAGGAAACTACAGCAAAGACGAAACCATCCTGCCTGAATATAAATGTCTGCCACAGAGACTGGAACAGTTTTTCCTCTAGTTCCAAAACCATCATATAAGACTTTTTCGGCACAAATCCTGGCTGAGCTTTATTTTCTGCTGATGTGTCTACTGAATGGAATCGTTATTACAGTGACCTTTATTTCATTTACTAACTTGTAGTTGAAGCAGGACAACAGCTTTCAAAGATGCATCTCTGTGCAAAAAGCCATAATTTAAACATCTTCAGGTCTGTCCTGCTTGGACGAGAGGATCTCCCAGACAGGAGGTGAAAGCCGATCCTCCCATCATGCCATTCTCTCTCAGTACTACATCTGTCCAGCCTAAGCTGAAGGCCACTCAGTCTCTGGTCTCCCCTCTCCCTAAGGAGGCTGGCTAAAGGCTCTCGCCCCACAAAGCCATTAAAGATAATTAAGAAGCCAGTTAGAGGTTTTAATAACAGCCCAGTGCAGTTATACTGTAGGAGATAAATTACTAAACTCAGTGCATGTTGGTTGATTGGGAACAATAAATACATCAGACATGTTAGCAAAACAGAGTAGAGGAATGTAGTCACTGAAAGTAATTCTTGATGCCGTTTAATTAGTTGTGATAGTAACCAAAAACAGAAATGAATCAACTAAATTGCCTTCTTATATCTGCCTAGTTTTGTGATTTCTGTGATTATTGTTATGGCCTATATGCTTCCGGTTGTTCCTTATGTGTGGGTCACTGTTTATTTTAGCTCAGAGGAAGGCACGTGCTAGCCGAAACGTTAGCTCATGCTGTGAATAAAGCTTCTGCTGCTTACTGTCAGTAGTGCTCCTGTTTCTGTAAGCTATTGCTTGATCACTTGAGTTTTGTACGTTTTGTACGTTTTGAGCAGTTGAGCACACCCTCATTTGCTGTGAGCGTGCACAAGCTACAGGTTTTCTGATTATCATGAAGGTTACTTCCTGGCCACACTGCACTTTGTTTTGAAAATACCCATTTGTACACTAAAAACTCTAGAGATAACCATCTGAAACATCTGCTAACATGGCTCTTAAGGTGGCTTTTTTTTAAATCTTCACTCTCGATTAGAAGAGAAGATCAATAATAACGTGTGATGTTTGACAGGTGAGCTACAGATATCTGGTCTGAGATATGGAATGAAGTTTCTCTAAAAATGATCAATGGCAGGTTTTAACATTAAATGATGACAATAAATGCGGTACACTGATCATTCTAATGTAAACTCACACTACAACCATGTTGAAGTACTAATTTTGTTTTTGTCACAGCTGTTACCTCAGAGTCAGACAGTGTGTGCTGACTTAATATCACTTATTTCCAGTGGATCTTAAATTATGCTATGATATCTATAATGCATGTAAACACAACGGTGCACAATGGCACATCAGAGACCCAAAAACATTTAAGACACAGTGCTGCATTAACAGTGTGGTGTGATTTGAGAAGGGTCCTTTCTGCCACGCGTCGGTGTTTTCCCACATGCACATAAAGCAAGAAGAGAAATATTTTAGGAAGTTGTGGTTTACATAACAGGTGGTACACAGAGTATGAAGTTCTTATTGTGTGTTGGCGACATCTCTGGCAAGAACAACTGCCACGCTGAGGCAAGTGTCGACAGCCAGCCATATTACAGTCTGGGTAGTACAGGATGTGGCGCGATGCCACTGGAAAAACAGGGCTTTGTATAACCAGCTGTTGAAGTCTGTGAAAAAGTTTTGTTTGCAAAACCCTAATAATGTGTTGCAGTATAACAACACTACAGAGTGAGGGACGAGACCTTTTAAAGGACTTGAGAGATTTGATAGGTGACAAAGTGTCAGTGTTACTGGTTCCCAACTTCTTTGACTTGTGACCCCTTAAAACGAAGCCATGCACAGTATGTGCGTGACCCTTCATCACGTCACATACTGTATGCTGCAGCTATATGCACTTATCTTTTGTGTACTTTATGCCTTTGATAGCTGGCATCAACCCTTCATCACGTCACATACTGTATGTTGCAGCTATATGCACTTATTTTTTGTGTACTTCATGCCTTTGATAGCTGACATAAGAGGAGTGACAGGAAACTACTGAAGGGATCAGAGCGATGCAACAAACCCCCAGACTGGACACAAAGTCAGGACATTGCAGTTTATTGCCAGTGTCTGAAAACGTGACTTTTGATTGTCAGTATTTGTTCATGAATGACTAAGCAGCATCACAGTCAAAATATTTTTACATATATAATGCATTCAGAGTTTCAAAAACATTGTTTATTACCTTTGTTTGGACTGTATCACATTTGATCAACAGTGACCAAATCATCCATCAAATTCATATTTAAATCTTGCTAAACTGTGGTTGGTCTGTGGATGTATAGGACACCATTTGTAACTTAGCCCTGCCCACTGCAAACCAGAGACTATAGAAAAAACATATACAGAAATGTCTCATGTCAAGTAACCAGAACTGTTCTACCCCTAGGCGCCCTGACCTGAGAACACGTCAATCAAAAAGGTATTGCTGCTCATATTGATTCATTTGAACAAATTCTAAAAGGCTTGATAAATAATAATTCTCTGTATTTCACAAGAAATGCACCAAAGGTCAAGGAAGGTCTAAACTACAGAAGCCTTTTGTATGTCGTGTTTAGTCAGTCATCATGTGAGCCTTTAGAGTTGGATGAGAACCACTGGATTCAAATAGACTCACTTATTTCATCACAGCAGACCTCCATGGAGTCAGACGAGCAGTCACTGAGATCATCCAGGGAGGCATCTGTGTTGTTGTGGACCTGAAACCTACAGCAAATGAGACAAACACAAACATATCAACAAATCTACCAAAATTCAGACAAACATTTTGTTATTGCTCTTTGAAACTGAGGTGGTGATTTATAAGCAAAAGGAAGAGTTGACCTGGGGCTGCATCATAGTAACTGTTGTGTTCTAAAAGTAAACTGCAGACTGTGCAGTGTGAGTGAATCTTTCCATCTTAAAAAGGTGAAACACTGCCCTCACCTGAACCTGAAGGGAGCAACAGCAGCCATGTTGCCTTTTCCTGGCTCTCTCCCTCTGCGTGGCATGTTGAATGTCTGATAAGAAGTCTTTGATTTGTCACGAGACACTTCTATCTCAGAAACTCCCAGCTCCTGGTTGGATATATTCCTCATCTCTTTCTGGAAGCTCCTCATCCCACCTGAGGACACTCCTGCTATCTCATTCCCATTTGCACTTTTAATATAAAGGAGCCGCCCTCTTCCCTGGCCTTGCTGGACCTCATCTGCATTGTCCACACTCCTCAGACGATATTTTCCAAAAGTCCAGTTCTTGTTGGTGTTTTGTCTTAACTGGAGGTCCCACAAAGCCTTCTGAGTCAACGCCCCGGTGTGGCGGTCCAGCGTATCTTTAGAGCGTGAGACTTCTCTCTTTAGTATCTGAGGGCTGCTATATGCTGAGCATGTTCCATTAGTTCGCTCTGTAGCTGCTGGGCTTCTGTGAGAGTACACACCAGTCTTCTGCTGCAGCGGTTGGTTCTTTAAAGCCGCACCTCTCAGCAGCGCTGCAGGACCTGAGGAAGCAGACAGCGTAGAAAAGGACTGATGCCGTTTGGCGACGTGCTGATATTGCACCGTGGGACTAGGGAAACTGCTGCGTTGTTGTCTGGAATCCATCTTAGAGAGAGATATTACGTTTTGATATAAAGGGAGACCACAGCTGACACCTCAGTCCTTCTGGCTCTGAGATATGACGTTGATATTCACGCCACCGCTCATGGTTGGTAAGTGTCAGTGGATTAAGATCTGGAAAGGAAGGCAAGAAAATTCAAATTCAGAGCAGAATTTTAAAATACACATTTCTCATGCACCCAGTGTGACCCGTTTCCATATTAGCAGGATATTTCAGAGAAATGCCACTTTGTGAACAAAACTACAGCTACACCATTAGTGAAGATGCATAAGAGTATTCTATGAAATGAAATCATCCTAACACCAAACAATGACAGAGGCACATTTATTATACCATCAGAAACAAGAACAAATGACAGGAAGAGAAGAAGCTGCCCATTAGATCCAACTCCTGATCTATTAGACATGACTCACTGACTGCATGTGAGCATGAGTGTGTGGGAAAGGAGCAAGAGGAGAAGATGGTTAGAGGGGAAAGAGCATTATACCATTATGCATCAATTACAACTTCATGGTAGTCATAAAGTCTGAGAACAAGGCTAGTCACCAGTTTTAATTCCTCAACTGGTAGAAATCTAAAAATCCAGAAAGTGAATTAAACTTTACTGTCAAAAGCTGTTTGAGTGACCTTTAGTTGCACTGAGGCAGTGCTGCAGCTGATCTAAGGCAATGGGGAAAAAATCCTTCACACAGGTTAAATAGAGATGGAAAGAAACCAAAAAGTTGAATTTTGCTATTTAAAATAAGATTTGAAACTAATCAAACACCACTGCACGAAAATCAACCAAAGAATTGGCTGTGTTGTAATAAACAGACGACACCATATGTCTCAACAGCTTTGCCTAATGTATTCCTGGTCCTTTACCCTCGACCTCCAGTGTGAAGCATGCTGTGAAAGCCAGTGGCAGACTGACACCACTTAGCTATGCATCAGGAGAACGGCTCCTTTCAGGCCATGCCAACACCGGCTGGCCCCATCAAAGCCCTGCAGACAGCACCTACTGATATAATGGTGGGGGTTTTAACTCCACCACCTCTTCATGCTCCCTGTACCGATAATGGAAAAGAACCATAGTAAAACCTGAGTGTGATCTAAAGTATTAATTAAAACTCAAAATCTCTAAAAAGGCATCCCAGAAATTCATATAAAAAGGGGACTGATTCAAATCCTTCACTCAGCACTAGTTTACATGTACATTTAATCTGTGAGTGTAAACTCAGTTCAATAAACCATGAAACCCTGAATGAGCCAATCTGATGTTATTGAGGGGACTCTTCTAAATTTCAGAGCAGAAAAATTATTTTTATAGTACGTCTATATGGTAAAATACAATGATTAATTTAATTCAATATCATATTATGAGACTGAAATAACAAATGTACTATAGGGAAGGCTTTAGGAAGAAGACAGTTAAAGAACATTTTGATTAGAAATCTGCTTTGTGGGTTTATATTCAGGATAATCTTTACCACTTCAATGTGCAGCAAAACATACAACTTCAATAACTAACGTGGTTCTTTTTTTTTTTTTTTTAGTTCAAATTTGTTAACTTATCTCTTTGCAAAATAAGATTTTTTTTTTGTCTTACCCGACTAGTCCTGCACGAGTCAGTCTTCAGCACAGAGACAACAGTGTGATGCGGTGCAGACCGACTTAGTCTCCACAGAGATGAGCTACACTCAATAGTATGATGCAGTTTACAGTAATACAATTTAGACCCACGTGCTGCTTTAAAGTGAGTCGGGGCAAATCGATACTGGATGACAACAAGCCGGTGAGGGAGCTGGAGGGAAACTCCACGTCTTCACAGCTCCTACATTTCCACACTCTGTCTTTGCTTTCATCCCTGAGGTCACTCGCACACAGTTCACTTATTATGAACAGATATCAGCGACTCATATTTCGATCTTTCTCTGGTGACATTATTCTGTATTTCCCCCCTGAAGCTCATGTTTCTATCTCAATTTGAATGCAACTTTGAACTCCTGTGTCAAAGGGTCTGATGAAGCACTTGGAAGACAGAGGACTCATTTCCTAAATGCTAGAAAATCATGTTTGAAGACTAAAAATATAGTTGACCAAATCTGGAAATCCTTAGTCTCGTGAAGACTTTGATTTCAAACTTTGTTTTGTGTAAGATGTCGTCTAATGAGGTGTCAACTTATAAAAATGGTAAAGACTGAATATCAACCTTTTTTTTTTTAAATAAATCTCAATGTTGGCCCTGCTGTGGTACAGACACAACGTCTCAGTGCTCCAGTTTCTCTTGTGCGAGTTGAACAAGTGCATCATTATCTACATAACTCCATTTTCTCAAGACTGTCGTACCATCTAGTTTTCATGAGGCCTCATTTAATTTTTATATATAGCATCAAGTCCCAGATTCCTGATTTTCACCACTTCCTCCTACATCCCAGCTTTGTCAGGAGCAAATTGGACTGAGGGCAACTCACACTGTATCAAAGACACAGGTAGAGTAACACATTCACAAATGAATATGGACCAAAGCAGCCTAAAGAATGGCTTTTTCTTATGTTTGACTGACACGAGTCCGGACTTTGTGTTGCCATTGTTTGTGATGGCTCAAAGCTACAGATTGCGTTTCGGTTTTCCCCTCCAGCGTGACTGTTTTGGGCCACAAAATAGTAGGAAATTCAAAGCTACCGTTTCTTTTGTAGCCTATATCATATACCGTTTAATAGCATGCATGACATTTCAGTCGATAGCCTTGAATTTGTAAAGATACAACTGCTAATTAATAAACTGGAAGTGACAGAGCTTGTGCAACATATATTTTAGGGTGTGTTTCCGGTGTAGAATTTCTTTATTCTCCTAACTGCATTGTCTGTCCAACATCAATAACAGTCTGGCTCTCCCTCACACATCCTAACCAAGTTACAGCACTTTGCAGGAGCACTGCTCTCTAATGTATGCATTTACTTTTGAAGGCATATTTTTCTGTCTTGTCATTACCTTTAAATACTGCATGCCTCTTCATAATTAGTGAATAACAACAATTAGAGAAAGATTATCACAAAACCATTAAATACTGGCAAAAGCTTTTTCACTAAAGCCTATTGTGCTTTTTGGGGAATGTGAGATTAGAGTGGGCATTTAAGCGAGTAATCTGTTGGTCCATTACAGGGATTTATCTGTTTTAAGTGACTTCAGATGATTAAACATAATGCCATGACATCATTAACATCAACACCCTGACTAATGCTTCAGCTTCAAGCAGCTGTGCCACTGTTTGAAAACACAGAGGGTGAAGTCCATATTGGATCAGGTTACGGCACATTGCTGAAGTTCTCTCTCAGTGCTTTACGTGCTTTAGCCATGTCCCAGTTAGTGATGTCACAGCAGGTAAGACGCTTCTGATATGAATCACCTGTGGCCTGTTCTTTATACATCTTTGCCTAAAGGTTTTGTTTCTTTGAATGGTCAAGGAAAGCACAGGTATTACTAACCATATTAACAAAGCCTCCATTATAATCAACTCTCCCGACCCTGAGCCAGCATGAATGGTCCCTGAATCTGATAAACAGAATATAACTATCATCAAATTGTTTCTACTGTGACATGGCCAAATGTCTTCCTTGAAAAATATCTGTTGCTGGCTTTTTGATAAGACCTTGAGTAAATCCCAGTCCCTTTAACTGCATCCATGCTGGCCACGGAAGGAGCGCTGGTGCACTCAAGTCCAGGACTCAAACTGGAGTCAGGATTTTTAGAACTTGTGACTGGACTTGAGCACTGACTGCATCTGGACTTATTCTCTGGGGACTCGGACTTGACTCAAACTAGAACTCTGGGGACTCAAGGTTTAGTGACTACAACACTGCACATAAGATATGAGAAAAGGATGCAAGGAAAAACTGTGAGAAAAGAAAAATCAGGGAAACATATTTAGAGACACAAACCGTCCTTTCCTCGGTTCCTTCATCATTCAGCGACCAGTTAAGGAAACTGAGATTTATCTCAATTCAGTTCTTCTTTAAATTTATCTGCACCTACTTTTTTTTAAACAACATTGTTAGTCCTCCACTCATGACTGACAAAGTGAGTTTGATGGATAAGGTAAGAATTTCTGGGTCTTATGGTGGTGTATAATAATAATACTAGATTAACTGATTCACACACATGTGGCCCTGATGAAGAGTACAACAACAGTTTGTCATTCCAGGAGTTGGCATTTTAAATGTTTCAAGCATTGCTAATAAATCAGAAAACAAGTAACTGTACACGGCTATTTACAGTCATTCAAGAAGACTGTTTTAAAAACCTTTGTTGATTTGCCACAAACTACTAACACATTTGAATCATACGGTGGCCTGATTGTTTCTCCCCACGACAAACACAAGCCTAGAAACGTGGTATTGCTTCTTCCTGAAAAATCTTGTCAAGGCAAACATTTCTCAAATTTAACTGACTATTTGAACTAGCGTCAGCAGCCTTACTGCTCAACTGAAAGCCTGTTCCCAGGGTTACACTGCTGCTCTGACACAAATTATTTCTTTCAACCTGAAACAAAAAGTAGACACAGGCTCTGAAGGCCCACAAACAAATTATCGTAAGCAGTGTACTATAAATCCTATATGCGCACTGAAACATCCTGCCTCTGCACTGCTGTTACGCAACTGATACAGTTCTCATGCAGGAATAGAATGGCCATTTACACAGCATGCTGCAGCGCTGATGAGTCAAAGTGTGGGCTGTTGTCTGTGGGGAACCATCAGTCTTTAAGTGGACTGCAAACTGGGTCATTTGAACAGACAGAAGGGGGGGGGGACGACTGGAAATGCATTTTAAAATCCTCCAAAGAATGCAGCAACAACACCTAAAATAGTACAAGTGATTCAGTTCACGCATTAGCAAATAAAACATGCTTTTTCACTTTCACCTTAAAGGCTCACAAAAAAAGTGTACAGGAAGTAAAGCTGTGCACAAAGTTGTGCCAGGGTGCTGCAGTATTTCAAGAGATATACTGTACAACAGTGTGCTATGTGTGCCGGTTTTCATTTATATGAAATATTACAGTGACTGACGGTAACATTAACTTTTATCCAAAAAGGGGACAAACTAAGTAGTGAAAAACAATGTGACTGGAGCATAG